GGCAGAGCACAGAGAGCCCCATTGTGTAGCTTTGTGCTTAATTCCAAACAAACAAACACTCAGACTTATTTTTTACTTTAATTATTCTTTAAACGAAACGTCTGTTTCTTTTATCTTCTCTTAATTTTCTCTTTCATTCCTCTAATCTACTATCATTCTTCACGGTCTTCTCTTAATTTCCTGTCTCGTTCTTCTTGTTCTTTGTTAATTTCCTGTCCCGTTCTTCTTGTTCTTTGTTAATTTCCTGTCTCGTTCTTCTTGTTCTTTGTTAATTTCCTGTCCCGTTCTTCTTGTTCTTTGTTAATTTCCTGTCTCGTTCTTCTTGTTCTTTGTTAAGTTCCTATCTTGTTCTTTGTTAATTTCCTATCTTGTTCTTTGTTAATTTCCTATCTTGTTCTTTGTTAATTTCCTGTCTCGTTCTTTGTTAATTTCCTATCTTGTTATTTGTTAATTTCCTGTCTTGTTCTTTGTTAATTTCCTATCTTGTTCTATGTTAATTTCCTGTCATGTTCTTTGTTAAGTTCCTATCTTGTTCTTTGTTAAGTTCCTATCTTGTTCTTTGTTAAGTTCCTGTCTTGTTCTTTGTTAAGTTCCTATCTTGTTCTTTGTTAAGTTCCTGTTATGTTCTTTGTTAAGTTCCTATCTTGTTCTTTGTTAAGTTTAAATTAACAAAGAACAAGATAGGAAATTAATAAAGAACAAGATAGGCTTGTTTCGTTCTTCTTGTTCTTTGTTAATTTCCTATCTTGTTCTTTGTTAATTTCCTATCTTGTTCTTTATTAATTTCCTATCTTGTTCTTTGTTAATTTCCTATCTTGTTCTTTGTTAATTTCCTGTCTCGTTCTTTGTTAAGTTCCTATCTTGTTCTTTGTTAATTTCCTGTCTTGTTCTTTGTTAAGTTCCTATCTTGTTCGTTGTTAAGTTCCTATCTTGTTCTTTGTTAATTTCCTGTCTTGTTCTTTGTTAAGTTCCTATCTTGTTCTTTGTTAATTTCCTGTCTTGTTCTTTGTTAAGTTCCTATCTTGTTCTTTGTTAATTTCCTGTCTTGTTCTTTGTTAATTTCCTATCTTGTTCTTTGTTAATTTCCTGTCTTGTTCTTTGTTAAGTTCCTATCTTGTTCTTTGTTAAGTTCCTATCTTGTTCTTTGTTAATTTCCTGTCTTGTTCTTTGTTAAGTTCCTATTATTTAAGAAGTATCAAAGAGGAGATTTTCAATTTAAATCAGTTTATTCGACATGGTACAATAAAATCATGCATGTATATAATACCGACATGAAAAAAATAATAAAAATATTACATATAAATCGAACAACAACAAATATATACGCAAACACGTTCTCTTTATATGTTTTTTTCTGTTCATGTTCCTATTTTCGCAATATTTATTTCAATCAGTCGACAGCGAAGTCACGTTTTTTTCCATGAAATTTTCTCACAAAAAGAAACATTTTTGTTCTTAATAAGTTTTTCTCAGATTGACCGTTCAGCAAATACAAAGGCTGACAGATTAATGTTGATATCGATAGGAAATTTTAAGAAGTGCAAAAAATGAATAATTTTCTTGTAATTTACCCTTGAAAAAAAAGCATTTTGATATGTAATTTTATTTTCTACGATTAACTGTTCAGGATATTTAGAGCGTGACAGACAGACAGTTAGTTGTTTTATGTATGTATATATATAGATAGATAGATAATAAATTGACAATGATTTATAAGCATAATGAAGTGATTTTATTTTTGGGGAGAAGACAGATCAATGTTCTGTCAAAACATGTAGCATGTTCCCCAAGAATAAAAACACTTTATTTTGCTCATAAATCATTGTCTGTCAGTTTACCAGTAGAGGTAACTGTGAATTCAAATCGTATTAAAAGTCCGTAAAAGTTTAGGAGAAATTTGTTTGTGAATTTCCAGATGCCATGCGGGTAGAAAGTGAGTGGGGATTTGCGATTGCATTCAGTAACTTGCAACCTGCCCCCCCAGTGGCAC